CGGCTGCGGGCTCGGTGCGGGGGAGCCACCCGGCAGCCCCCGCCCTGGGCGGCAGCCCCCTTTAAATCAATACCGGGGCTTTATTTCTCCGCGGTCCAGACGCCTTTGTCCGAGAGTCGTCCTTTAATAATCAAATGTCAGGGAGGGAAGGGGTGGCTGAGGGCTGCCGGGTGGGGACACTGCCCCGACCCCGGGCACTGCCCTCCCTGTCGGGGGGGCTCCGGACTCAAGATGTGACCCCAGATAAGAGCCCCAGACCCCGATTCAGAGACTCAGAGCCAGAACAGAAGCTGGTATCCTGGAGAATAGCTCCACACCTCCGTGAGGAGACCCAGAAACAGGAGGGTACGCCATGACAGGGATAGGACCCCAAAACTCGGGAGAAGAGCCTAAAAGCTTGGAGGGCACTCAGAGCCAGGATAGGACCCAGACCCGGGGGGGACACCCCAGAACCAGACTGGCAGCCGGGTGGTGGAAGGCAGAGCGCTCCCCGTCCCTGGCCGGGGGCTGTGGGAGGGGACCGGGGCATAGAGGCCATCGGGTGATGCAGAACTTCCCTCCGCGGAGGGTCCGCGCTGGGGGGGGACACCGGTACCCCCGGAGCACAGCCTCGGTCCTTGTTCTGCCTCAAATCCTCGGGGCTCCGCTCCCCTCACCCCTCCAGCCCTGTCCGCTCCATCCCCCCCAAAAACCAAGTTTCCCCCCTCTGCGGTGACCGGGGGAAAGGGCTTGGTTTCGGCCAGAGCTGGGAAGGGAAGTCCGGAGCAGAAGCTCTTGCTCCGCTCATCCCCCTCGCACCCCGCAGCTCTCCACCGCCTCTCCCAGCTCAGCTTCTCTGCTCTCCCGGACCCGCTGAAAATAACGAGAAAATAGTTTCTTACCATGTTTAAGCTGTATTTCTTTATTAACTCGTAGAAACCGAGTTTCTCGAGATACTGTGCCTCAGAGTTACAAATAACAGAAATAACGTTCAAGAGGCGGGAGGGGATAACGAGCTGTTTCAAGTAGCTCGAGCAAGTGTTATTTCATTAATTTCTGTGCAATAAGCCTTTCTCCCGGCCTGTCAGCTCCTCAGAAGTTCCTGGACTATCAGCGCTGTGTGTTTATCACATATCCCCAAAGAACTCTCTCTCGGCCAGACCCACCCTATCTTTTCCCAAAGAGGAAGCTATTAGCGCTGTAAATGCGAGTCAACAGCACCTTAATTCGTAATTTATTGCAGGCGGTAGGAGAGAGTTATTTAAGATTAAAGCAGCGCGGAGGGTGAGTGCTGCAAGGCGTAGAGACCGGGGAGTGGAGCAGGGGGATGCAGGAGAATAACGCGGAAACCTGCGGCTGAGGCGCGGAGAGCAGCGCGGCGGCAGGGCGGGCGGGACGCGGTAGC